GGCACCTGGCTGAATGGATATTCGTGTGCTTCCACCAAAGCTGCCCCGATCAGAGGCTTTCTAAAAGCTTTGGACGGCACCAGGATGAAGTGCCAGAAGCAGGGTATTAAATCTTGGCGACGTGGCCACTTTCGCATGAAAGTCTTCTTTTATCGTTTCTTTTGTACAGGCGTCGCAGGCAAATCGGAGGACGGGTATTCAGAGAACAACGCTTCTTGCTCGATGGGCGATATGGTAGTTTCAGCCGAGAATGGTCGCGATGAGGTGCTTTCCGAACTATCCCAGCGTCAGGCTGAACTTCGCGCCCTGCAAGCCTCCAATCACAGCTGCTTGTTGACACTGTTAGCGAAATCCGAGGCGACCCTGTCCGTTGAACCTGCACGTCAAAAACTGGCTGTCATTGACAATACGGCAAGTGTTTTCTTTGGCTTGTTTTCGATTACGGTGTCAGTGACCGGCGCTCATTTTCAGATCACAGGCCTCTTCCAGCAGATATATGGCGAAAGCGCCTTGGTGCGCAGGCCGTTGTCGAAGAAGGAACAGGAGCAGTTGTGGAGGGCAATTCGGGACCGCAAGAAAATACTGGAGGACATCGACGCACGCGGCATGGCATCTACGTCGTATTACTAAAGCCGTGGCATTGCTCTTCTGCTTTTGTTTTTTTAGTGTTATATTGTTTTTATGTTTTTTAACTTATATATATATACCTTATTGAAACAGTTCTTAGTAGACTTTGCCATTGAATATGAGCGTATTAACTGTGACCACACTCGAAGCAACCTGCAACGTATACCTGCAGCTTGTTTTCAAATCAGTGTGCCACAATCCCTCAGTAAAGATGATTTATTTAGTGACCTGCCATTCTGCCGTCCTTGTAGCTCATGCCAAATCTTAATACGGTCCAGTCGCCACCAGATAACTGAGGAAGGCTTCATTTTCCAATACTATTATTGTTTGGCTGATGAGAAAGCCTCATTTTCCGGTACGACTATTGTTTAATCAGTTTAAAACGCAGTTGAGAGAATGTAAATTCCTTTCAATTCTGTCAAAGGATTAGTGAAACAGTCTGATATGTTTGAAGACATCCTTATTGTGTTAATGTGCCACACTCATGGTTCAGTGTTACATTGAAATGAACGTACTACAACTTCTTTTTGTTAGTTTTGGCCCTAAAACATTAATTCATGTGCGAGATTCCTTTAGCCAGGAGGAGATGCGGTATGGACGGATCTGGCACGACTTCTCAGACACCATGGAACAGGTCCGATTAAATGATCCTCCAGAACGCCTGGTGGCCATAACGCGGCTCTATAACTGCCTTTACAAAAGCCATTTTCTTCAATATTAATTCATAACAGCATTTCAGGCCTAGAAAATAAAAAATTCGAATGCGGCTACATGTATTTCATCGGTCCAGAGTCAATTATAAATATTTCAACATTTGTTTGTTTGGTAATAGTTTGAAGTCCATGCATCACATTATTTCATCCCAGATGTATATTTTTCTTGACATCTTTATCATTTAGCAAAGCTTGAAAGCACAGTCGCCAAGGTTAAGGCTATCTCGCGCATTTTAAAGGGTGTCAAGTTTAAATATGTATACAAGGATTTGGCATTTAAAAAACTTTCCACTTTATTGATCTTGTTTACTCTGATCAGTGAATTTCGCAAGTTTTTAGCGTTCTGTTTTGCTTCCACAGATTTCATTGGTACATAGTTACAGTGATGGAAAATTTATCAGACTGCCTTATCGTTTTGTCGCTGTCAAATTAGTTAATTTTTCTGGCTGCGGATCATTTAGTTATTCGTTACATCGCAGTCTCAGGAGCCTGGGTACATTATTGTTAGAAATTGTCTCGTTTAATGACGTTTCCAGGCTTTACACATGCAGTGTGAATGCCGCTTCTTTTAGCATCGTGATCCCGATCTTTACCCTTAAATTCCCTTATGCCACTATATGTGCTGGTTCATAAGTTTGTTGCCGTTGGAACTTCCGTTTTCTTTAGTTTCGGTATGTAATCGTTTCCGGTATCCTTCTTTTCATGAAGTTAACAATCAGGCACTGATTTCTGTTTCTATGCCATCATCCAAGAGTGTCCTGTTTTAAATGCAGAATGTAAAGCAGCTATTCAGTTAGCAGTGTCATGTTTCCTTCGCACATACTAGTATCCTTCAATGAACCTCCGAAATAAATGCAAGTGACCTGAGTGGGCCTCTCGATTTCGAGTCTGACTGTTTACCGACTGAGCGGTAATTTACTAGGTCAATGCGCTGGTTCATTTAATTATTTATTTCATCTTCACCAAGCAAGATAATTGTAGTGGTGGCCCTGTTGTTCTGTCACTGTGGTTTCTGTTCGTATAATTTACTTTGACTTTTAGCTGCACTTTCACTTTAGTTTCAGTACGCCTCTTCCACATGCTGAACATGTGCTAGAAATATTGCCTGTTTCGTACCTTCAGTTGTAACGCTGTTCAACAAGCAGAATCACTTCATCTTCATCTTCCATCGTCGCTTCTCCTTTCGGGTCGCGGAAGCAGACGCGTCAGACAAAGCTTCCAACGTTCCCGATCCTGTGCCAG